TACGATTCCAATGTAATAAATTATAACCATGGAATATTAGTGTTTGAGCTTTATATATATATATATATATATATATATATATATATATATATATATATATATATATGTATTAATGTCTATGAATGTTTGTATATGTGTGTGAGAGCGAATTTTTTGTGTATATGTGTAATAATTTAGTCCGTCTCTTTGCGTATATGGCTGTGTTTTTTTTGTATGTGCATGTATTAATTTGATTGTTAGTGCATGTATAGAGACGCTGTATATATATATATATATATATATATATATATATATATATATATATATATATATATATATATATATATATGTATGTGTTATTCGTGTGTGTGTATGAGTGAGAGATAATATGATTGGGAATACATGCATGACGTTGCTTGTCTGCATGTGTGTGTGTGTGAATCTATATCTACGTTTTCAGCCGGGTGAGCTTTGGGACAAATGTGTATGAATATTTTGAAACTATAAATCAGTTTGTTAAATTTATAGACGTGTCTCAATATTCGTTTTTCAAGTCATTTTATTCTTTTAAAAAAATTCATTTCTCTCTACAAAATTGGTGACATCCAACGCGATCCTTTCGACCTAAGCTTCTATAGCCTTTGTATGTGTGACCCTCTGTACGTGTGTGCATTTAGAAAAGTGCGTGTATATATGTGTTTTTGTCGTTATTTTTGCGTGCGTGCGTGCGTGTGTGTGCTTGAACTTGAATGTGTATGGTTGTTTCTGTACAGCCTGCGTGTAAATCGTTTGTGCGTTTGTGCGTATTTATACATACATATTAACGCGTGTATCTGCGTGCGTGTGTGCAGGCGTGTAGGCATGGGTAGCTATTCATTTTCTTTTGTTTCATCTTCATTTACACGCCGCGCCGCTTCAGGACGTGGGCGATCATGACTCTCCCCATTTCCCCGGCCTTTGTAGCTCTGAGCAATATCTGTCTCCTTCCTCTCCCTTCCAGACCCTGTTCTGACATCCATTTACACTAGTTTCGTTAGCTAAATCATTAGCTGTTTCTCTCTGCCATCCTTGTTTTCTGCATCTTCAGTGAGTATCAAACTTTCCAAACCCTCTTTCCTCATTAAATGTCCGATAAACTTCACTTGTTTCGTTCTGGTCCTAAATACAAGTTTTTGGGAGTTTTTTTTTTTTTTTTAATTATTTGTTTTAATTTTTACGGGGATGGGAATAAATATTTTACCCGTTTTCTGATTTTTATACCTGAAACTTGTGTTAATTTCTGATATGTTCACCTGCTGAGACTGTCCGAAAAATATTGTGATGTCTTCTTTTTCCACTATTTCCTTCAGGACATTGAAGATCATGACTCTACACAATTTCCTGTCCTTTGTAGCTCTTAATAAATTTTGTCTTTTTTTTTTATCTATCCTAAACCCTGCACTGCCATTCATTTACTCAAGCTTGCTAGGTAGGTTATGCGTTTCTTTCCTCTGTCCGTCTTGCTTTCAATCTGCCCGGTGAGTATCAAATTTTCCAAGCCCCCTTTCCTCATTATGTGCCCAGGAAATTCCAACTGTCTCTTTCTGATGTTTAGTATAATTGCCTTTTTTCTTTCTTTCTAATTTCTCTAAAACTTCGTCGAGCTGCTGCCATTATGAACATGGACGACTGATGTTGCCCCTATCCCCAATTCGTTGCCTTTCATATTTTTTACGATTTATCAACCCTTTGCAGGTTATTTAAGATCAGGAATTTTTTTTTTTAATCTGTAATTATTATATTTTTTTTTATGATAAGGATTTACTGATGCAAGTCCAACTAGTTAACCCATACTTAGTGGATTCACACCTGGTTCCAAATGTATTTGCGCGTATGGGAATATAAAGAATCCCAGTGGAATTGGAACTCGGTTCTCCGATTAACATTTCTGAGCCGTTATCCATTACACCACTCTCACATCCATAGAGCAAGTGGTCATTTCCAAGTGATCACCCATCCAGGCTCGACGTTGTAAATATAAAAGTACAGATATCTCTTTAAGAAATCAGAGATCGATTTGACACTGTATTTATGTTATGAAAGGGACCCCCATTTATAAAATTATACAAAACCTATCAATATTTTTAATGTCTGACAAATATCAAGGATAGCGGTGGTTCTAATGAATGCTAATCTATCAAAATTAAAAAGAAAATATTTCCTATTATTTTTAATGGCGAACTACTAGTAAATTACATCAGTCATGGCACTTTAGGTGTTTCCAAAATGAGCAATTTCTTTTTTAATTTCTTTGCCAGTAATTCGCGAACACAGGGATAATGAACAAGAGTATTGCTTTGGTGGAAAATCCACTTGTTCGACCAGAGGTCAGGTCTTTTTCCTTTGAATAGTTTGTAGTAACCTTGTCAGCACTTTCACTTTCACTATTTACATTATTTGGACTATTGTCCGAAAGACCCAAAAAATGGTTGCTGGAACATTACGTTTATAATACCCAGAAATTCACAGATAGTGTCCTCAAGGACACATGGCACAGTGAATAATGGCGTTAGTTAGATCCAGTAACAGGACCCTAAGCATGTGAGTTCAATACCCGGTTAAAGCAGTGGGGAACATTCAGAGGGGAATTAACAGGAGATAACTGATAACTGACATCCATTAAAACATGACACGTGGAACTAGAACAGTCTACCCCAGTGAGCGAAATAAAGGGTTCAGTTCGACATTCCAATCACCTGAAGAAGGCCGGAGTGAACAACAGCCGAAACGTTGTAATAAATATGGCGACAAAGATGAGGACAATAATACGAATAATGTAAATAGTGTACATGATACCTCATCACAGAAATATAAACAAATACTTCCACTTGCATCTGTTCCTAGTTTCCTGTCATTGTTTTTTGTTTTTTTCCTTCTACTCACTTCTTGCATCATCGATCATATTTCGACTTTCCTTGAACTGCCTTACGGCCATATCCCTTTAAAACACCAGTTCCTGTACAATCACTGAAGTTAAGCAACGTCGAGCCTTGTCAGTGCCTAGATGGGTGACCACTTAGGAATACCGGTTGCTGTAAGCTTAGATATGCGGGTGGTGTAATGGATAATGGATCTATATTGTTAATCGGGAAGCCGAGTTTCAATTCATGCTGCATTCGTTATATTCTCTTTATACACACACACACACAAAGAATTAATCAACCTTGCATAGCTAATGAATTGGAAATACTTTAACTTGGTTTTCTTTTATTTTTTCCCTCGCACAAATGTTTGATAAAACACAGTATTTATTTAGCCTACAGCATGTTTAAATTAACCAAGATATGGGGCAATGGCCTAAGGCCCAATGGTAAATTTTGGTCCTAATATCACACACGCAAATCTTAATTATTGGTAGGCTTATAGCCATATCACTTTGAAACACTGCCTCTCATGCAATCACCAAAGTTAAACAATGTCAGGCCTGGGAATACCAGGTATTGTAAGCTTGGGTGTGCAGTTGGTGTAACTGATAATCTAAAAATCTTTTCTGGCTTTAAATAACCTGTAAAGGGTTGATGAGCCGTAGAAAACAAATCAATCACTCAATTTCATTGAACAGCATAAACCACTTAAAATTACTCGATTTCTTTATCGTATATTCACCATAAGTCATTTTTTTTATCAAACTAAAGTTTCATTAGCAAATTTATCAATAAAATTTGATGCAAATCCTCTGCTCCAGATTCCTTTCACTCATTTCCTTCCAACAATATAACATGAACACGTACAAATTCTTCTACTGCTCGGTATCAAATGATTCATTTGGCCTGCGTCGCAAAAAATTGGAATTTGAAACATGTCCAGATGTTTTCGGGTACGAACGAATTCCTGACGCATTAACCTAGGGACCCGTTACTGTCATTCTAGGAATCAAATTGACATAGCACCGACATAGGATTTGATGTTATCCACGGTTTCAGGCACCTTGGAACATATCTTCAACTGATAAAGGGGACTAGTGAATATGACAAAAATAATATCAATCTCTCGCTATCTCTCTCACTCTTTATATATATATATATATGTGTGTGTGTGTATGTGTGTGTGTGTGTGTATGTGTGTGTGTGTGTAATATATTTCTATTTCTACATTCTCTTGTGATACTTTTTCTCTTCCCCATTCTATCTACTTTCACTTTCACTTTCGTCCTTTTTTTTTTCTCCGCATTCTCCCCGTTTTTTTAGAGGTTGATATACCTCTAAACAAAACCAACCAATCTCCTTCCTTTCTATCTTGCTTTCTCCTATCACTCTCCCTCCACTCCGACATTCTTCCTTGCTTATCCGTACACAATTTCTTTCTTATGTTCCATCCCTCTTAAGACTCAATCATTCTTCTTTCTCTCTATCCCCCTCTCTTTCTCTATCTATCTATCTATCTATCTATCTATCTATCTATCTATCTATCTATCTATCTATCTATCTATGTCTATGTTCCCTGTCTCCGAACTCTCTGCTCAGCATTTTTTTATATTTGTCTCTCTACCTCACTCTAACTTTCTTTCTTTCTTTCTTTCTTTCTTTCTTTCTTTCTTTCTTTCTTTCTTTCTTCCCTTTTCCTCTCTTTCGCTTTCATTCCATTGTTTTTATTCTTTTCTCTTTCTCACTCACTCTCACTCTCTCACCCCTCTCTCTCTCTCTCTCTCTCTCTCTCTCTCTCTCTCTATCTATCTATCTATCTATCTATCTATCTACCTATCTATCTATCTGTTCTATTTCTCCGAACTATCGGCTCAGCCTTTTTATGCCATCTTTCTCTACTTCATTCTAACTTCCCTTTATTCTTTCTTTCTTTCTTTCTTTCTTTCTTTTTTCTTTTCTTTCTTCTTTCTTTCTTTCTCTTTTTTCTTTCTTTCTTCTTTCTTTCTTTCTTTCTCTTTTTTCTTTCTTTCTTCTTTCTTTCTTTCTTTCTCTTTTTTCTTTCTTTCTTCTTTCTTTCTTTCTTCTTATCTCTTCACGTTTCATCACTTTCTCTCTCATTCTGTTGCTTCTTTTTGTTCTTTTTTATTCAATCTTTCTTCCTCTACTCACACTGTCTTTATTTTCTTTTTACATTTGCTTTAACCTTTTATTTATTCTCTTTCTTTCTCACTCAATCTTTCTTTTTTCTTTCTCTCTCTCTCTCTCTCTCTCTCTCTCTCTCTCTCTCTATATATATATATATATATATATATATATATATATATATATATATGCGCGTGTGTGTATGTGTGTGTGTGTGTGTGTGCGCGCGTGTGTGTTTGTTCACTTTCTCCGAAATCTCTGTTCAGCCTTTTAAAATGTCTTGTCTCTCTCTACTTCATTCTAATTTCCCTTTCTTTCTTTCTTTCTTTCTTTCTTTCTTTCTTTCTTATCTTTTCGCGTTTCGTCTCCTTCTCTCCCATTCCTTCATTTCTCTTTGGTCTTTTTTATCCATTCTTTCTCTACCCACACTGTCTTTATTTTATTTTATTTTATTTTTTTACATTTGCTTTAACCTTATATTCTTTTCTCTTTCTCCCCCCCTCTCTCTCTATCTCTCTATCTTTCTTTCTCCGTTTCCCTTCCTCTCTCTCTCTCTCTCTCTCTCTCTCTTTCTTTCTTAAGTGTCACTTTATTTTCAATTCACCTTCCTCATCATCTCCTCCCGCTCTGTTTTATTTGCCTTTCCCTCTCTATTTTCGCCAACAACCTTCTCCTCAACTTTACTCAAACATATCACTTTCTCTTCCCTCTCCTTTTTTTCGCCATATATTTGCGCCCACCCTGTTTTTATTTTTCTCTACCATTGTTGTAGCCGTTCTGTACGTGTGCGTCGCTATATTTGTGCATCTCTATATGTGTGTCTCTATAGTTGTGCGTGTGTGCGATTCTGCTCGCTTGCTCTAACACAGGCGGCCTTCTTTCCACTGCAACTTGTTCTCTTTTCTATATCCAGGCTGTTTGTTTCAATACCCCACGTCCGTTCTTCTAACCAAGCGGGCGAGCATGTTATCAGTTGGCATGGCAACCAACCATCATCTCTAAAGAAACGCTAACAATGAAAAAGAAGAACGCGAACAGAGAAGGACGAAGAAAAATAAGCGGAAGAGAAACTGAAAAGGAAACGTAGTTTGCAAAAAGGATGAAGAAAGACGAATGAAGAGAAACAAATTAGAAAATTGTGGAGAGGAGGGAAAAGAATAAGGAGAGAGGAGAGGAAAGAAGACAGAAACGAGAATGAAAGAAACGGTGTGGACAAAGAAGGGAGAGGAAAAATACGAGTAGGTGGAGTAAGTTGAAAACAAAAATGGAAAATAGGGTAAAGATAGATAGATAGATAGATAGATAGATAGATAGATAGATAGATAGATAGATAGATAGATAGATAGATAGATAGAATGGAACTGAAGATAAATAGATAGATAGATAGATAGATAGATAGATAGATAGATAGATAGATAGATAGATAGATAGATAGATAGAATGGAACTGAAGATAGATAGATAGATAGATAGATAGATAGATAGATAGATAGATAGATAGAAAGAATGGAACTGAAGATAGATAGATAGATAGATAGATAGATAGATAGATAGATAGATAGATAGATAGATAGATAGAATGGAACTAAGATAGATAGATGGATGAATAGATAGATAGATAGATAGATAGATAGATAGATAGATAGATAGATAGAATGGAACTGAAAATAGATAGATAGATAGATAGATAGATAGATAGATAGATAGATAGATAGAATGGAACTGAAGATAGATAGATAGATAGATAGATAGATAGATAGATAGATAGAATGGAACTGAAGATAGATAGATAGATAGATAGATAGGGAATAGTGTGTAAAATAGAAGAGGAAGGGAACTGATTGATTTGTTTGTTTTTGTTTTTTGTTTTTTACGGATTATCAGCCCTTTGAGGCTTATTTCAAGCCGAAACGCATTTGAATTGCAAAAATAATCATTTTTTTACCGAGTGAATATTGCATTATTTTGTTTAATAGCAATGATTTTTCCAGATACAAGTCCTATTTTTTAACTCATATCTGATGGAGAAGAGATAGATTCATACCTTTCCCAAGTAAATTTAATGAATCCGACTGGAATTCGAACTCGGCACTCCGGGAGTGAACACAAGAGAACCGAATAGAAAATATGTGGCAAAGGAAGAATAAATGAAAAAGAAAAGAGTTTAAAGCAAAAATGGATAAAGAGAAAAAAAATAAAAAAGAAAGAAAGAAAATGATATAGAAGAGAGAGTAAGATAAAGAGGTGTGGAAAAGAAAAATGAGGGAAAGAGGAAGAAAAAAAGAGGGAAAAAAAAACAGGAAGTAATAGAAGGAGTAAGACGGAAAGATAAAGTGGGGGGGGAAGAAAAAGAGAAGACCGTAACAACGAAAGATCAAAGTAATGAACGAGAGAAAAGTTTAAGAATAAAATGTGTTCTTCAATATAAATATTAAAGAGAGAAAAGCCAACACCCCACAAAACAACACCCCACCCCACCCCCAAAATTTTTAGTGTGGTTAGAAGAGATTAAAACTAATTAAAGAAGAGCACGGATTAAGGAATCGGAGAACTGAGTTCGAATTCCAGTCGAATCCATTACATTCATTTACGTGCTAATTCTCTTGGGAAAGGTATGAATTCCCTTCTCCTCCCCTCAGTTATGGGTAAATAGTAGGACAAACCAGGTTCTATAGCCTTGGATGGCAACTGGTCTACTGCAGAAAGAAACAGCAACCTACTGCAGGAAAAAAATCTGCCTCGTCAGTCATGTATCGAAAGATACATGATCGCCTAAATGTGTATCACGCATGGCATATAACAGTCTAAAAGAAGAAGCTGGAAAAGAATGCGAAAGGAGAGTAAGTCTATAAAATAGGAAGAGTAAGGTTGTAATTACTCTCTATCATAATTACTCTCTATTAACCTATTTTCTTAAGAAGCGAATTATTCGACAAGAAAACCTATCATGAAATAAATATTGGAATATTTATCGGGGAAAGATTATAAAGGATAGTATTTACTAACTTATATTAGTCTGGCACAAGGCTATAAGTAAGAGTATCTGCCCAGGATCGAACTCAGTACAGTCGTAATGGTATGCTAAAGCGTACTTAGGAATCATTGCTTCAAACTTGAAAATTTTAACCATGTAAAACACAAAGCTACAAGTGTTTGGTGGGTTTTATAAAGTTCATATGATCTACTGTTTTAGCACCAAATACAATGACCTTCTGGAATAGTCCTGCCGGCCGGAATTTTCCAAACATGTCAATTTAAATAAATGTGAGAGTATAAGGTTCCTTTTTTATACTATTCTCAAGCCAATAAAGGAGCACCTCAAGGTAGAGATTGTTTTAAATGTGTAAAGGTGGAGATAAGAGGTGAATCCTATGAGGATATGTAGGATAGACAACGCTTGAAGAGGTTAAGAATGTAGTGATCGGGGAAACATTTTTTGGGTGTTTGTTTTTTACTACTTGTTCATCCATTGTAAAGGGTAATTGAATGAGAATGCTTAAGTGCGTGAAAATTATGAGGATATGTAGGCTAGATACAAAAGCATACCACCGGGAAGATTATTTTAAAAATATAAACTATTGTATACACAATGTCGGGTGGAAAGAGATTATTTTATTTTATTTATATTTTTTTTAAGCTTTCAACCCCAAGCAAGGCAGGAAGCCACTAGCAAAGGGTTTCAGAGTAGGAGCAAGAACAAAGAGGAGTGATAGAGAAAAGGATGAAGAGACGGTTAGGGGATAGATCAGAGCATCTGGAGACGTCGATTGACATTACATTTGAATAGTTGCAGATGATAGATGAAAACAAGAAATGGGGATGGAGTTCCACAGGCGAGAAGTGCGAGACATGAAGCTATTGGAGTAGAAGAGACGGCCACATTTAACAGTTTCGACTGTGAAAGGGTGAGAGCGAGATGCCATTCTAGTTGAACGCTTAAATTCATGAAGTCTAGGAACCAGCGAAAGCACCTCATCGGAGCAGTTAGCGGGAAAATATTTGTGAGAGAGCGGCTGCAGACGAGATGCCAGATCAGGGTCAGTTACATTGCATATCCGTCTTTGGATTTTATCAAGACAATTAGAAGGGGCTCAAGACCATATATGGCAGCAATCCTCCATGCAAAGGCGAATTTGTACACTAGAATATAAAACCAACGAAAAAGCGTTAACATTTTTTTAATCCGTAAAGCCACTAAATCGCAAGGTGTAACAGGGCGTGGAGAAATTATGAACAGAAATATTAATAATTAGCAGAAAGAGAAAAGAGTAATCAGGAGGACAACAGATAACAATTGACACTGCATTTAAATTTTTTTTTAGGTTAAGGGGTACTTGCTCGTAAGTGATTATAAGTGGAACTCGAACTCGACTCTCCGATTAACGATTCTGAGCCGTTATCCATTACACCAACAGCAGATCCAAGATTACAGCACCCGGTATTTCGAAACGGTACCCGATCTAGGTAATAACCAGGCTCAGCGTTGCTTAACCTTTATCACTCTGTATGTGACTTCATTTGCTGTCCAAAAAGCCTGCCACTGAAGGGGACTCTGATCCCTGAACCATAGTGTGTTTGAATTTCATATTTGCGTTCTCATATCCTGCTATGGCAACCGAAAACAACTAAGGATTCTGCAAATGAGAAGCCTTGAAAAAAAATGCAGTGGAAAGGGAAGTAATGTTAATAATGCAGAGTGCTAAAGGTTAACTTCGAGAACAGGTGTTTCAACGGGATATGACCGTAAGACCTCCAGCGAGTAGGAAAACAAACAATTAAAAAAGCATAAAAAAAATTACGGAAGGCAAAAAGAGACTTGGATTAGTGAATTAGAAATGAAAAACTGGAAAGATCTAGAAAAAAAAGGACAATAAAACAGACAAAAAATGGCGTCGTAAAAAAATGACGACGAAAAAAAATGGCGACGACAAACGAGATGGGATGAAGAGGAAGATAAAGAAAGAATATAATAAGCAT